AGAAGAAGGAGACGTGGCCGCCGGCGCAAACCTTTCTTCGCCAGATGTTTCGGATTCATGGTGGCATCCATCATCAGGGACAGTAAAAGAAGCGGGTAATTCATGCTGAAGGCTTCGCAGGATTAATACGATGTAGCCGCTATGCTACCGCATAATAAGGATAAAAAAAGTTCGCCCTTAATCGAAGATTTTTGCACTCTGGTGCGATAATTGCTCGATGGCCGGCATTCACGTCCTTGATTTCCAGAGTTTCATCAACCGCTTGCCCAACGATTGCTCAGCCTTGCTTTGGTCACATCTTTATCCACTGTACTGCTTTCTGGAACTCGTCTGTTCGTAACGTTAACGTTAGTACTCAATTGCGTCCGACTTTGACGAAGGGTGTTAGCCACATACCAAGCTTCGTATATTAGTCTGTGATCTTGGAACACAGGCGACTCCAATCGTTTTATGCTTGCCTCGACCATGAGTCCCATGATTGGCAAACCCATTGGTGCTCTCCGCACCTGCTCACATATGGTTTCGTCAAAAGAAGGGTTCGTCCCGAGACAACATTTCAGGTGCTGAAGGACTTTGACGTGGCTGACGTGCTTTGCACCAAAGAACAATCACCCTCGGCGAAGGGGAGCTGTTAATTTCCATATGTATATGATAGCATAGCGACTGCATCTTTTAAATATCGCAAAACCTTGTCTATGCACTCCTCGTATCTGATGCTGCCTCTGATAATGGGTTTGAGCATGAATCCGACACTTCAGGCAAATTAGGTCCTTGATTCAGTGACCGTGTCATATTCCCTCCAACAGCTAATGTTAAATGCGACTAGTAAGATCATTACAAAAGGCAATAACCATCGCACGCTCACTACATTTACCACTGACAACCGGCGAATACTTTAAAACTGTTGCGCGGAGATAGGTCACACCCTAACTCATTTTTTGGCATAAACATAAAGGCAGGATCCAGAAAGTAATGTCCAGGTTCTCTTGTTTTGTATTCTTTTCAAAAGTTTCGACCTATATATACGCAGTAGTTATGAAACTGAGGTACTATCAGCAGCGCCATGATCGAGGAGGGGGGAGGGAAGAAGGACAGTGGGCGGCTCTTTCAACTTGTCGCCGAAGGCTGACAAAACGTGCGTGGGTATGTTTTATGAATTGGAAACTCTGCTGATTACCAGTTATTCCAAAAATTTCGTAGTCTTTAATACAGATGTCGGAAAAACTGTCTTGTAGGACCACCTAAATATATATTCCCCCGACCAACTCTCTAACGTAATTTGTGGTCAAACACTTAATGCTTGCTTAGTGAGTGTAAATGAATAATTAATTGTTGTAGAAGTGATCAAAAATATCAAATTAAAGAAAATTATATTTGTTTCAATGTACTAAATAGAATCAAATCCACCAACATAAACTCCTGTTGCTCAGGATACTGATGCCAATTGAGGAACTTTAACCTTATATTGGTGGCAGTTAACAAAAAAAGGAAAATCGACCTTATATTGGCGGAATTTAATGGAGAAAGCAAAAATAGGGTTACTGAGAATGTCCAAGACAAAATAATATCTTAATAAAGTCCTGCCCAAATGTCAATATGAATCTCAATGCTGACATCACTCCTTGACTTTTTTATTTCGTAGTAATTGCATCAAACACTCATCTTCAATAAAAGTGAGGCTTTAGGTGTCTAACACTCTGCATTTTGAGAATATTGATCAGAAAGCAGGTAAGGGATTTTTGTCACCAACAGCTGCCATCGCATACTTAATTCAAACGACTTAATTTACTTCTTCGAATAGGACCTCATAATTGAGAGATACAAACGCCAGGTGGCTTATCAGATGGAGGAGACAAACAGATACCGGCTGCGCCTTAAATACATGGGTGAAAATAAGGAAGGAGCATGGTCCGCAGCGCAAACGGGTCGTCTTCCGTTGCATCTGGAGGCTCTGGATCTACGAGTGGCGCCCGGATGCGATGAGATTTATCAACAACTTACTGGCAACTTTTCAAGCTTTAAGGCCTTAACGCCAATTGGTGACCTCTGAGGGGCAGTACGTTTGCATTTCCCTTGTAACGGTTTTGCCACAATAGGCCTCGGTTAATCAAACGATGCAAATGACACATCTCAATGTTGTTGTTCCAGGCAAAGCTTACCGCACAAACTAAAATCAAATGAAAGTTTCAGTTCTGGATCCTCATAAGTATGCGAAGCAGTCCTTTACTCACCTTTTAGTTTTTTAAATTCTCATAAGAACGAATGCGAAAACTAAATCATCGGTAGCGTTGGTCGCATCGAGTCAAACATCAGCTTTCTCCGTAACGATAAAATGAAAATCTCGCTATCTTGTTACCTTGTATTAGGCGAATAGGTTTGGAGAATATACATGCATTTCATTCCTTTTTACCGAACCGAGAACTTTTAGAATTGTAGGTCCGAAAAGACAAGGGAGACTGGAGTGGTCATTGCTAGTTTATTAGTCGTCATTAACTAGCCATACCCAACCTCAAGTGGTACCCCACTCGAGATTCAAACCCGCGGCCTTGCTAATTAGAAATCCAACGTTCTAGCCACTACATCAGGGGCTCGGTGAGCTCCAATCTGCTAGTGTGCAGATTCTTGATCGAAACCGGCAAGGCGACGAGCAGTTGGCGCAGTGGTTGGAGCGTCGGGTTTCTAACTAGCAAAGTCGCGGGTTTTTAC